AACCCCACTAGCATTTACATGTGGGTGCATTGGGTATTTGTGCCCAGTTTGGTCCAGTGAATGAAAATACATCTGACATATCTGATATTTACATTATGATTTATAACAGTAGTAAAATAACTCTTATGAAGTAGCAACAAAAACAATGTTATGGTTGGGGGTCACCACAACATGAGGGACTATATTAAGGGATAATGGCATTAGGAAGGTTGAGAACCACTGTTCTAGATGTTGCTGAACTACAACTCCCATGAATCTATAATTTAGGCTATAAGAGTTGCCATCTAGGAACACCTAGAGTAGACTTTCTCAATTTTTTCCCCATCTGGAACAACTAATTGTTATATCTCATGGTAAATAATCAGGTTGGAAGGACTTAATATACATTCTATAGGATACATTACAGATGGGATGGAAATACAGGGTGTACTAAGAAGAACAGCATTGTGAATCAAGAAAGGTCTGTGAATGAATGGTAGTCCTGCATTGCAGGGGTCCTCAAACTATGGCCCGGGGGCCGGATGCGGCCCTCCAAGGTCATTTACCCGGCCCTCGCTCAGGGTCAACCCAAGTCTGAAATGACTTGAAAGCACACAACAACACCAACAATCCTATCTCATCAGCCAAAAGCAGCCCACACTTCCCATTGAAATACTAATAATTTTATATTTGTTGAAATTGTTCTCCATTTTAATTATCGTATTGTTTTTAAGTGTTTTTTTGCATGACAAAAAAAGATATGTGCCATATGCATAGGAATTCATTCATGTTTGTTTTTTTTAAATCATAATCCGGCGCTCCAACAGTTTGAGGGACTGTTGGCCTTCTGTTTAAAAAGTTTGGGACTATTCAAAAAAGTCGGCCAACCAATTTACTTGTGCACTTTTGTCCACTGGGAAATATGGGACTTTTTAAACATGGAAATCTGTCTTCTATATATCGCATTGGAACCCTAGTTCATCCAGCCACGTACAGGCAGTACCTAAGTAACAAACATCTGACTTACAAACGACTCCTAGTTAAGAACGGGGCTGAGACAACAGGAAGTGAAGGGAACAACCCCTAAGAAGGGAAATTCACTCATTATCATCTCCAACAAGCCAAATCTTCCAAAATCCAATTATCAAAAGGGACAAAAAGTGAGGTGGAATCTTCTGAACATGGTCACAGACAGACACCCACAGGGGTGTTCATCCTTCCCTATGCTGTACAAAGCTTATAGATAGATAGAGGCTGGAGTTATGCTTGAAAAATGTCCCTGTTCTGACTTGCAAATTTAACTTAAGAATAAACCGATAGAACCTCTCTTGTTTGTACCTTGGGGACTGTCTTTATTTGTCTTCACAGCATTCCCTGGAGAAGAAGGATGTCAACAACCAGGACTGTTTTTGCATGACAAACCTGTACTTCATCACTGTGCTACCATAGGCTTTTCATTCACAAATCCCACAACTCCCATATCTTAGAGTTACACAACACTATATAAGACAATTTTTGTTCCTAGGTAATAAATGTCATTTCCTAATTGGTTCTATCATAAAATCATGGAAAAGGTTTATTAAACTGCAAAAACTTTGTACTTGTGGAAGGGACATACTCTTATAGCACATTTTGCTCTAGTTTTTCAATACATATCTCATCAAAAGTCTCAACCAATTCAACCTAGTTTGTGGCAGCCACAAAAACAACCAAGTTTCTGGAGGAGAACAACAACTTTCAAAGTTAGGATCCCACTATGAAACAGGAAATAACACTTTCAAACCAGGAGCAGACTTTCCCCCACATTTTGTTGTATGGTATAATGAAAGGACTATCTCATGAGAGTTACTGAATGAGGAAGTTCTCCTTTCCAGCCAGGATCAATACCCTGAGGTAAATTTTCCTTCTTGAGGTAAAAGATTTCATCGTAAGGTAAACTTCCAGTCGCCTTGCTGAAGTAAATCTTTCATCCTGAAAAAAGTGTTTCATTCTGAAGTAATATTTTCAGCCGCCCCCCGAGGTAATTTCCCAAGTGCCCTCTTACAAATACTTCAGACTGGGGTGTTTCATTTGATCCCCTGAAGTACTATTTTGACCTGAGGCAAATTTTTTGGCTTCCCTCCTGAGGGAAATACTTCAGACTGCAGTATTCCATCCTGAGGTAAAGATATCATCCTGAGGTATGGTTTTTGGCTGAGGTAAATGTTTCATTCCACAGGTAAATATTCCACCACTCTCCTGAGGTAGTTTTTGGCACAATTTTTCAGCAGCCCTCCTGAGATAAATCCTTCAGATTGAGCATTTCACTCTGGGGTAAACTTTCAATTGCCTTCCTGAAGAAATGTTTTCCTCTGATATATATTTTCAGTCTCCTAGGTAATTTTTCAGCTGACCTCCCAAGTATTTCAGGCTGAGGTAAATGTATAATCCTGAGGTATGTGTTTCATCCTGAGGTGAACTTTCAGCTGCCATCCTGAGGTATATTTTGACCCTGGTGCAGTTTGAGAGTAACCTTCCTGGGGCAAATACTTCATCCTGAGGTAATATTTTGGCTACTCTCCTGAGTTAAATGTGTCATCCCAAGATAAAATTTCGGCTTCCCTCCTGGGGTAATTTCCCAACTGCCCCCCTGAGATAAATACTTCTGAAGTAAACTTCAATTGCCTTCCTGAGGTAATTCTTTGCCCTGTGGTAAATTTTCAGTCTCCACTCAGGTAAATATTTCATTTCCAGAGATACATTGTGGCCCTGGGGCATTTTTGAGACAACCCTCTTGAGGTAATTATTTCAGACTGAGGTAAATGTGTCATCCTGGAGTGATTTTTCAGTCTTCTCTTGGAGTAAATTTCTTGGCCTGAGGTAATTTTTCATCTGACCTCCTAAGTATTTTAGGCTGAGGTAAATGTATCATCTCAAGGCATTTCATTCTGAGGTAAACTTCAATTGCCTTCTGAGGTAATTTTTTTTGCCCTGAGGTAAATTTTCAGTCTCTCTACTCAGGTAAATATGTCATCCTAAGGTAAATTGTGACTCCGGAGCAACCCTTCTGAGGTAAATATTTCAGACTGAGGTAAATGTGTCATCCTGAGGTAACTTGTCAGCTTGCTTCCTGAAGGAAATGTGCTATCCTGGAGTAAATCTTCAATCTCCTCCTGGAATAAATTTCTTCATTTTGCAGCTGACCTTCTAAGTATTTTAGGCTGAGGTAAGTGTTTCATCCTGAAGTCACCTTTCAGTCACCCTTCTGAGGTAAATTTTGACCTCAAGGCAGTTTTTGGGCAACCCTTCTGAGATATATTTTTAAGACTGAGGTAAATGCGCCATCTTGAGATAAACTGATTTTATTTTCATCATTTTATTTTGATTATTGTTGTGATATTTACATTGTTGTAAGCCATTCTGAGTCCCCTTGGGGAAATGGGGCAGGCTATAAATAAAATTGTTGTTATTTTATTTTTATTATTTTATTTTATTATTTAAATTGTCAGTTTTTTCCTGAGTAAATATCCCATTCTGAGGTATATATTTCAGACTGAGGTAAATGTCCCAACCTGAGGTAAATTGTCAGCTTCTTTCCTGAGGTAAATGTCACAGACTGAAGTAAATGTTCCATTTCGAGGTAAATGTTCATCTGCTCTCTTGAGATAAATGTCCCATCCTGAGGAAAAATTGCCGGCTTCCTTCCTGAGATAAATGTGCCATCCAGAGGTAAACTGCCAACGTTTTTCCTATGTATATGTCACATCTCGAGGTAAATGTTTCAGAGTGAAGTAATTGTGCCACTCTAAGGTAAATGTTCACCTGCTTTCCTTAGATAAATGTCCCATTTGGAGGTAAATCACTGGCTTCCTTCCTCAGGTAAATGTGCCACCTTGGGGCAAATCTTCAGCCGCTCTCCTGAGGTAAAGTTTACCTCAGATGGCACATTTACCTAAGGAAGAAAGGTGGCAATTTATGTCAGAATGACACATTTGCCTCAGAATAGAACAATTTCAGACTGAAGTAAATGTGCTATCCTGCGATAAATTTCCGGCTTCCTTCCTGAGGTAAATGTGACATCCTGGAGCAAATCTTCAGCCGCTCTCTTGAGATAAGTATTTCAGACTGAGGCAAATGTGCCGTCCTGAGATCAATATTTCAGATCGAGGTAAATCTTCAGCCGCTCTCCTGTGGTAAATATTTCAGACTGAGGTAAATGTGCCACCCTGAGATAAATTGTCAGCAATCTTTCTGAGGCAAATGTGCCATTCAGAGGTAAATATTACAGATCTTCATCCACTCTCCTGGGGTAATTATTTCAGACTGAGGCAAATGTGCCATCCTGAGGTAAATTGGCGGCAATCTCTGAGGCAAATGTGCCATCCTGAGGTAAATCTTCATCCGCTCTCCTGTGGTAAATATTTCAGACTGAGGTAAATGTGCCATCCCGAGGTAAATTATCAGCAATCTTTCTGAGGCAAATGTGCCATCCTAAGGTAAATATTTCAGATTGGGGTAAATCTTCAGCCGCTCTCCTGTGGTAAATATTTCAGACTGAGGTAAATGTGCCATCCCGAGGTAAATTATCAGCAATCTTTCTGAGGCAAATGTGCCATCCTATAGTAAATATTTCAGATTGAGGTAAATCTTCAGCCGCTCTCCTGTGGTAAATATTTGAGACTGAGGTAAATGTGCCACCCTGAGGTAAATATTTCAGATCGAGGTACATCTTCAGCCGCTTTCCTGTGGTAAATATTTCAGACTGAATCAATGTGCCGCCCTGAGGTAAATTGTCAGCTTCCTTCCTGAGGTAAATGTGCCATCCTGAGGTAAATATTTCAGATCGAGGTACATCTTCAGCCGCTCTCCTGAAGTATATATTTTAGATTGAGTCAATGTGTCGCCCTGAGGTAAACTGTCAGCTTCCTTCCTGAGGTAAATGTGCCAAGTAAATGTTTCAAACTGAAGTAAACCTGCCACCCTGAGGTAAATGGCCTGCTTTCTTCCTGAGGTAAACGTGTCACCATCCTGAGGGACGCCTTCTTTCTTCCTCTGGCGCCATTTCCCAACTGCTTCGCTGAGGCAAACCCCTGAGACCGACCTCCTGAGGTAAACAACACTTCACTTGTCCCCCCCTTCCCCGGCAGCCACATACCTCAAGAGACGCTTCTCCTCCTTCTCCTCGGCGTCGAGGCCTAGCCGGGCCCCTTGGCAGGTCAAGCGCCTCCCCTCCGGATTGGCTGCCCCTTCTTTCTCCTTCGCCTTCTCCTCCTCTTCTCGCGGCGCTTGTGACGACCAAGATGGCGCCTTACTCGGTCTCTTCGCGGCGGCGGAGCAGGAGGAACTACACCTCCCGGCGTCCCTTGCGCCGAAGCCGGAAGAAACGCAAAGTAGAGACAAAGGAGGCGTGGCTTCCTCCGCAGGGGCACTGAGACTCTAAGGAGGCGTGGTTTCCTCCTTCTAGCCTGGAGGGGGCGTGGCTTTGCGCTGAGCTGTTAAGGAGGCGTGGCTTTGGCTTCTACTATTCCCGGAGTGGGCGTGGATTGGCCCTGGGATGCTCAGGGGCGTGGCTTCCTATTTAGGGGCGTGGTTTTGCCTTGCAATCCTAAGGAGGCGTGGCTTCCTCCTTCGAGTCCAGAAGGAGGCTTCCCGTCGTCGGCGCTCGCTATTGGCTCGCTCAGGGCAAACACTCGCTTTGGCCCCGCCCTCGGTGTGTGTTCTCCCGGAGGGGGCGTGGCTTAAGACTATATGAGAAGGGGCGTGGCCTTCCCGTCGTCGGCGCTCGCTATTGGCCCGCGCACAGACATCACTCGCTTTGGCCCCGCCC